GAAGGAAGGAAGGAAGGAAGGAAGGAAGGAAGGAAGGAAGGAAGGAAAGAAGGAAGGGAGAGAAGGAAGGAAAGGAGAGCCAGGCATGGTGGTACACACCTACAGTTTCAGCTACTCAAGAGGCTGAGGCAGGAGGATTACTTGAGCCCAGGAGTTCCAGGCTGTAGTGTGCCATGATTGGGCCTGTGAATAGCCACTGCACTCCAGCCTGAGCAACATAGCAAGACTCCCATCTCTAAAAAGAAAAAAAATAATAAGGTCATGGGAGACCAGAAGCGCAACTGACACATAGTATTTAATGCATATTAGTTATGAATATTACATTTATGTACATATATATGCATAATAGATACATATATATGCACACACATATGCATAACAGGTATCCACTGCAGAGTGCAATGGGAGCACAGAAGGTGAGAAACTAAACTTGAGTCTACAAGGCTTCCATGAAGAGATGACCTCAGAGCCCAACCTTCAAGAATGAGTAAGAGAGAGGTGGAAAAGCAGAGGAAGACTGATTCAGGCTGACTCCCCAGTGCACATAAAAACATGAAAGGAGAGAACATGAGTCACTCCAGAGGGCCCTGGGAGGGCCTCTGATAAATGCATTGGAGAGGCAGGCAGGAGCTGAATCACTCAGGGCCCTGCTAATGAATTCAGACCTTGCCTCAGGTCGGTGTAGGGCTATGGAAACAGTTTAAGCTGAAACCTGCCATGGATGGTTTGGCACTTTCTAAATCAACCACATCTTTCATAGTATTAGCCAGTGATAACCACTTTCGGATCAGGTCATGATCCAGAGGCCCTGTAGGATGCTAAACTAGTTCAACCGTTACGGAAAACAGTATGGCGATTCCTTAAGGATCTAGAACTAGATGTACCATATGACCCAGTCATCCCATTACTGGGTATATACCCAAAGGATTATAAATCATGCTGCTATAAAGACACATGCACACGGATGTTTATTGCGGCACTATTCACAATAGCAAAGACTTGGAATCAACCCAAATGTCCATCAGTGACAGACTGGATTAAGAAAATGTGGCACATATACACCATGGAATACTATGCAGACATAAAAAAGGATGAGTTTGTGTCCTTTGTAGGGACATGGATGCAGCTGGAAACCATCATTCTCAGCAAACTATCGCAGGAACAGAAAACCAAACACCGCATGTTCTCACTCATAGGTGGGAACTGAACAATGAGATCACTTGGACTCGGGAAGGGGAACATCACACACCGGGGCCTATCATGGGGAAGGGGGAGGGGGGAGGGGGGAGGGATTGCATTGGGAGTTATACCTGATGTAAATGACGAGTTGATGGGTGCAGCACACCAACATGGCACAGGTATACATATGTAACAAACCTGCACGTTATCCACATGTACCCTAGAACTTAAAGTATAATAAAAAAAAAAAAAAGAAAGAAAGACTCTGTTGAGGGTCATAGACTTCTATGGCAACGTATATTTATTATAATTCTTTGGGAAGTGATAAATCCTTTCTTTGTGGAAAAGACTCATCTCTTTTCCTATTATCTTTGAAAGTACTAGAACAATACATGGACACATGAGATTTGCCCAACAAATACCAATTGGTCATAACCTATGCACATTACATATGATGACTTTTTGCTATTTAAGGTAGTTAACGGCCTCTTTGGTGGAAAGTAGAGATGAGGGTAGAGGGCTGGACTATACCATAGCAAGATGTTAAAGGACAAATGCCACTTAGGGTATTTGTTAGAAGGTTGACTTCAGTGTAATGGAGGGCTGTTCATTTAAATCACAAAACCTATTAGAAAGCTGTTCTGTTCAGACCAGTTGATTTTTTCTGATTTCTGGTAATACAATGTAGAATTAGCAATAGAATTATATTCCCTTTAATTTGGAGGTGAAAAAAGGAGTGAAAACAAAATAAGACACATTTTGGTGGGGAGAAGAACCAGTGAATCCATGGAGGAATGTGGTCTGGAGGATCTGCTAGGGAAATGAACCCTCCAAAACAACAGTATCTTGACAGTCATTGAACGCATGCTCACTTATTCATTCATTCAACAAATATTTATTGAGCCCCTTCTATATTCAAGATGCTACACAACGGTGAACAAAACTGACACCATCTTGTTCTGAACCTCATGAAGATTACACTGAAGCAGGAAAAATAGGCTTTATAAAAATGAACACACTAATAAGTACATAATGAGTTGTGATAAGTGCTATGAAGGAAAACAATAGTGTCCTGTGCTATGAAAAAGAAGAAAGGCCTGCCTTAGGCTGGTGTCAAGGAAGATTTTCCTGAGGAACAGTCAAAAATCAGGAGTAGGAAAAAGCCAGGACAGGACGGATTGGGAGAGGCTGCAGGCAGGGGAGGGCCTCAGGTGGAAAAGAGCTGTGTGAATGTGAGGAACAACAAGTTGGAGGTGTGGATCCTGGAGGCATGAGGAGGAAGGGGCCACAGGTACAAGGACCAATTCGTGCAATAGGAAAGAGTGAGAAATGAAGTGGGCCTTCAGTGGAGGTCCACAGTCTCTCTACCAGTCAACACACTTAGTCAGTCCTGGCAGCTCAGGCCAGAAAACATTGTCAGCCACGGCAGCCGTAACTGTGTCCAAAGGTATTTGAACCAGAGCCACTCCATCTTGAACAGGGACTGAGTAATATAAGGCTGAAACCTACTGGGCTGCCTTCCCAGGTGGTTTGGCATTCTTAGTCACAGGATGAGATAGAAGTTGGCACAAGGTACAGGTCACAAAGACTGCTGATGAAATAGGACTCAGTAAAGAGGCCGACCAAAACCCACCAAAATCTAGATGGTCATGAAAGTGACCTCTGGTCGTCCTCATTACTCATTAAATGCTAATTTTAATGCAATAGCATGATAAAAGACACTCCCACCAGGGCCATGACAGTTTACAAATGCCAAATGCCATGGCAATGTCAGAAAGTTACCCTATATGGTCTAAAAAGTGAAGAAACCCTCAGTTCCAGGAATTGACCACCCCTTTCCTGGAAAACTCATGAATAATCCACCACTTGTTTAGCATATAATCAAGAAATAACTACAAGTATAATCAGCTGAGCAGCCCACACAGCTGCTCTGCCAATGGAGTAGCCATTCTTTTTTGTTGTTGTTCTTGTTTTTTGTTTTTTGGGATTTTTTTTTGAGACAGAGTCTGGCTTTGTCACCCAGGCTGAAGTGCAATGGCGCAATCTCGGCTCACTGCAACCTCCACCTCCCAGGTTCAAGCGATTCTCCTGCCTCAGCCTCCTGAGTAGCTGGGATTACAGGCGTACCCCACCACGCCTGGCTAACTTTTTGTATTTTTAGTAGAGAGGGCGTTTCAACATGTTGACCAGGCTGGTCTGAACTCCTGAGCTCATGTGATCTGCCTGCCTTTCCCTCCCAAAGTGTTGGGATTATGGGGGTGTGCCACCGTCCCCGGCCTCTTTCTTTACTTCCTTAATAAACTTGCTCTCACTTTAGGGACTCACCCCAGATTCTTTCTTGCGCGAAGTCCAAGAACCCTCGCTTGGCGTCTGGATCGGGACCCCTCTCTGGTAACAAGTAATGTCGGTATTAAAGGTACCCCCACATGTCAACGGCTTCCCTCCACAAGTCAGAGTTGGGGAGGGACAGGAGGCAGGAGGGAACGACAAAGAGCAATGGAAAGAGAAGGCCTGGGAGCCAAGCAGGCCTGGGGTTGACTCCGGGCTCCCTTAGTGGCCTGCACGACTCAGATGACCCGTCTGTGAAGTGCAGGTCACAGTGGGCGCCCCACAGGGCTGCAGAAAGGAGTGCAAAGGTGATGCCCACGCCGGCCCAGGGCGGGGACGCAATACATGGCTGTTGCTGCTATGATTGCCGCAGGAAGGGAGTCATTTGGAAGGCACAAAGGAACTATAACCTACTTGGTGTCGGGACAAGCCTTAAGGACGGGGCGGGGATTCCGGCCAGAGCTAGGTTCCAGCCTGGGTTGCCACCAACAGCGAAAGTGACTGCCAGGTGGCAGTAGGGTGACTTCACCAGCTTAAGTGCTTAGCGGGCAGGCGAGGAGGCGGAGCAAAAGAAGAAAACACAAAGGACGGGGAGGAAGCCCGGGAAACAGGTGGGTTACTCGGGAGGCTGGAGCTGGCCGGCCGTGCAGTCGCGGAGGAGCGAGGCCTGCAGTGCTCGGCCGCGAGGGACTCGGCCTCGGAGGCGACCCTGACCACACAGGTGAGCCCCCGCCCCGGGGGTGTTAACGGCGGGAGGGAGTGGCCTTGGGGGAACGCAGCTCCGCAGGGCAGTCCTTTGAAGGCGGCGCGGCGCAACGTTGGCCGCCCCCCACTCTCCCTTTGCTCTGACCCTGGCGGCCCCGGCGGGGGCTAGGGGCTGGGGAGCGTGGGGTGGCGCTGGCTGCTTCTGGCCAGAGATGGCGGCGGACTCCAGTAGGCTGACTCCCGGCTCCCCCGACTGGACCAGAAAGTGCGGTGTCGCCCGCCCGCCGCCCGGCCCCAGCCGGGCAGGCGCCCCACTCCACTAAGAAGCACCCCCGCCCCCCTTGCTGCGGCGCTCTTTTCTCCGCACGTCCGCCGGTCAGCACCCACGAACCCACGAACCCATGGGTCCCTTCCCCACCACTGAAGAAACAGAGGGTCCCCGGACCACCCCGGCGTGGGGGATGGGAGCTACACCTGCAAGGCAAGACCCTCAGAAGGCTTGCTTTTAGGTGTAGACTGAGGACTAAGTGGGTGCCAGGGGACCTGGCCACCGAAGCTGAGAGGTATCTTTGCCTCCCAATATAGGGCAGCGACCTAATGGCTAAGCAAAGATAATCTAATTTGGTCTGGTCAGCAAAGACTTCCTGGGAATGCTTAGGAAATGGAAGGCGTGCAGGGCAACTCTGACAGCCGCCCCTTCGTGTGTTCAGACTCAGCCTGCTGGGTGCTGAGCGGGGGGCTTTATGGAGCATCCCTCATCCTCATCCTCATCTTCATTCCTGCAACGGCCCCTCACCATTGTTGGTCCATAATGCCCACTTAACAGTGGAGAAAGCTGAGGCACAGACGGATTAAGTCATTTGCACCAAAGCACAGGGATGGCAGGGGGAAAGAGTCGCGATTTGAACTCTGGTCTCTCTGACCCCAGTACTTTCCCATGCAGGGCATTGTGGTGCCCCTGTAATCACATTAGGCACCTGCCATGAAACTTGGTGTGAGTACGGGTCCCCCTGGCTCAAATGCCTGGAAGTTTAGTAACTGATGTAGGAAACAGAATTGTGTATAAGAGGTTCATTTCGCAGAAGAAAAGCAGAGGTAGTGGTGGAGTTCAGGGCTGCAGAATGCAGTGGCCACCGGGGGCAGGAGGAGGCTCAAAGTCCACCTGGATTATGTCCATAATTGCCAGATCCAGGGTCCACTTTTCTAAGCCATGTAATGATGTTGATGATTCACTGCCTCCTTCAGAAATTCCCTCCCCTCTGTATCAGCTATTCCTTCTCAGTCATTTCCTTGGCCTGCTTTTTTTTTTTCTAATATTTCTTTCTTCTCTTTTCGATATTCCCTTGGGCTCAATGTTCATATTCTCCAATACTGTTTTTAGACACACTTGTTCAAGTTCCCTGCTTTAACTTTCATCTCTATGATGGCAGCTCCCAACTTCATTTCTCAAGCCTACCCCTGTTCTGGAACTCCAGACCCAAATTGTCATATATTAACAGTGGCTAATTCCACTGTTTTCCCCCACAGGCACCCAAATCCAACATTTCCAAACCCAAATTTAACATCTCTATCAAAGACGCTAAATTCCCACCAAGGTTCAGGTTCCTGTAACTCCTTGCCTGCACTAGTGCACCACCTTCCAACCTCGTCCTCCTGCCCCAGAGTCCATCTACCCTCCACAGATCCTCCTGAAAGCTTAGGAGTCCTAGTTCCTTTTGTGACCTGACTAGATGGAATGAACCCTGCTTTTTTTTCTTCCCTAGCATCCTGTGCACACCTCGAGGGAACCCTTTTCATGTTGTGTAACTGTTGACTTGTCTATCTCCCCTTTTGGACTGTGAATTCCTTCAGTGGTGATCTTGTCTTATCCTTCTTCATATCCCCTGGCCTGGCACATAATCAACACTCAGTGCACAGTGTGGTATTTCACTCTATTCTAAATCTGATCTGTCCCCATTAGTGAGTGAATGTGTGTGTGCTGGTGGAAGAGGAGCACTAGAAACTGAGTTTGCAGATGGACTAATGACAAAAGGAAAAACAAGTTTTCCAGATAACTCCAGTGGATCCTCAGGATGCTTTTAAGCTTGATACAAACATTCAGTCATGGCATAGTGATTCTCTTCTAGGTTCCTTAGACACTGGGTCAAGGAGTAAGCAGAGGATAAACAACTGGAAGGAGAGCAAATACAAAGTCATCATGGCTTCAGCGTCTACTCGTGGAAACCAAGATAAAGATACCCATTTGCCACCACCAAGCAAGCAGGTATACTTTCATCTTTATTGATCAATTCATTGATTAAGACATGATCTCACACTGTCACCCAGACTTGAGAGCAATCATGGCTCACTGCAGTCTCGAACTGCTGGATTAAGTGATCCTCCTACTTGAGCTTCTCACTTAACTGGGATGAGAGGTACAGGCCCCCATGCCTGGCTAATTTTTTTTGTGGTTAGACATGAGGTCTCACTGTATTGCCCAGGCTGGTCTCAAATACCTGGCCTCAATTAATCCTCCATCTAGGCCTGCCAAAGTGCTGGGATTACAGGCGTGAGCCACCATGCCTGGTCAGGTATACTTTTAATTGCAGGACCTGCCATCTGAAAAAATATGTATCATAGAGGATTTTTATTAAATTTCATCTTTAACCAGTCATCTTATTTTTTTCAGTCTGGCACTTTGTTGGATGGGCTCAGGGAAAATAGGATGGGGAAGGAAAGTGTGTTTTCAGCTGCTTTGAAAAGAAGCTGACATTTAAAATTTAAAATTTTATTTACAAAATCCTTTCTATACTCTTTCCTGTTTGGAATCCAGCCTTACTAACTCTTAGATGAACTGTCAGTAACTGAAGAGGTTTCTGAGAGCAGAGCAAAACTCTTAATAGACTCTAACAGAATTATATATGTTGCTTATTTATTTATATTTATTCATTCATTTATTTTTTAGAGATGGAGGTTCCATTATATTGCCCAGGCTGGTCTCAAAATCCTGAGCTCAAATGATCCTCCCACCTCAGCCTCCCAAAGTGCCAGGATTACAGGTGATATTTTGCTTATTTTTTACATTTTTATTACTGTGAGTAATCACGCTAATCCTATGCTGCTGACAGGTGTTCCTGTTCAGGGTGGCAGAGTCCTTAATTACTAATTAGCTAGCAGATTGAGAACTGAAGTGTTAACATGGAAATAATTTTTCAATTTGTTAGGAATGGATACTGTGTATTTCAGGAATACGTCAATGAAGAAAAGAGAAAGCATTTGATGGGTCAATGACATTCATGTTCAAGCTAAAAATAGTGTATGGAGGCAGTAATTTTCAAGGAGCAAAGTTTAAGCGAGGCAAACAGAAAAATGATAGAAAGTCACAAGGAGAATTATTTGGACACCTGAGTTGCCTCTGTGAAATGGGGAGTCATCAAACATTCATGGCTATACAGAAAATGATAACCAGAGCTCCTTTCGTTTTTGTTTTTGTTTTGAGATGGAGTCTCACTCTGTCATCTAGGCTGGAGTGCTGTGGCACAATCTTGGCTCACTGCAACCTCCACCTCCCGGGTTCAAGCGAATCTCCTATCTCAGCCTCTTGAGTAGCTGGGATTACAGGCACCTGCCACCATGCCCAGCTAATTGTTGTATTTTTAGTAGAGATGAAGTTTCACCATGTTGGCCAGACTGGTCTTGAACTCCTGACCTCAAGTGATCTGGCCGCCTCAGCCTCCCAAAGCCTGGGATTACAGGTTGACTGCAGGACTGGAAGCAATTGTGATAGCCAGGGTGTGTGCATTTGTTTATTTAGGGGGGGCAGTCCTTATTTCTGCCCCAGGCACTGCCAAGAGCAAGAGCAAATATTCACCCTGGGCATCTGGAGGCATGCCTGTGCTGAGGAAGGAAGGTAGGTAGAGACTGAGAGCAACTCCTTCTCCTGCTGCTGTGACTCACCCTGTGACTTACAGCACCTTTGCACTGTGCCTTGGGGAATTGCAGGGAGAGAAGAGGGAGGTTGCCCACTTGGGCTGCTTGTAGAGCTCCACAGACACTGGTGCCAGAGGGTTTCTCCACCCCTTTCATTGACATCATGCGTGTAAAGTGCTTGGCACAGGACCAGGCACATACAAAGTGCTCAAGAAATGGTGACCATCTTGTATATTGACATCTATTTCACAGAAAGAGTCTAAAAAAGACAGTGGCAAGATCAGCACAATCAAACTACGCTTCAAGAGTTAAGGAGCTGCACCTCAACCAGAAAAACACTAAAACCCTGGAGATAAATGGCAAATAACCCACATAAATAATTCACAAACAAGGAAACACAAGTGTGACTTCTATAGTAAGGAACAAGTTAAATTAAAAAAAAAAAAATTAATGGGGCTAGGCATGGTGACTCATACCTATAACCCCAGCACTTTGGGAAGCCAAAGCGGGACAATCACAATCACTTGAGGCCAGGAGTTCAAGACCAGCCTGAGAAACATAGTGAGAACCCCTAACCTATTTAAAAAACATTTTTTTTAATTAGCCAGGCATGATGGTGTGCACCCATAGTCCCAGCTACTCAGGAGGCTGAAGTGGGAGGTTAACTTGAGCCCAGGAGTTCGAGGCTGCAGTGAGCTATGATGGCACCACTATACTCCAGTCTGGGTGACAGAGCAAGACCCTGTCTCTAAAAAAAATAAAAATAAAAATAAAAATAAAAATAAAATGGTCAAAACAGCAAGTGTTACAATATGTTATAACATATATAAATGTTATATATGTATGTATTTTTCCACAAAAAAAATTAATGAGCCAATGTATAAGAAAAGATTACAACCCAGATCCAATTACAGGAATTGCCTGACAACCAGAGGAGAAGGGCAGTGTAGCTGAAAAATATGTAGAGATAGTCAAACACATTCATTATCAAAGAAGTACAAACAAGATAATAAATATTACTTTATACCTATCAGCTTAGAAAACTGGATAATTCCAAGTGTTAGAAAATTCTTTCTTTAACTTGCTTGGAATCTTCTTTACCCATACCTAGCTCTTACACAGGCTACGTAGCCATAAGGGAATGTGCAGGCCCTGCAGGTAGGAGTGGAGACTGCAGTCATTGAAGAGAGTGGTCAGCAAGACTCTGTCACAGTGAGAATATGCACACCCTGAGCTTTACTTCTAGATTCAAGTCTGAAAAATGTTCTCTCATGGGTCCATAGAGGAGCATGAGGTGGTGGGAACTTGGAGGCATTGTGCACAGTTATGTAGCAGTTAGAAGCGGCAGACTAGATGAATACAGCAACATGGGTGGATCTTAAAAGCAAAGAGCTGAGTTGAGAATGTTTTAAGAATAAAATATATAAAACAGTGCTATTTACATTAAAAAGATATAGTCACCCAAAATAATGAACATTTTGCAAGAATGGATAGAAATAAAACATTAAACACTCAGAATGGTTGTGATGGGCAGAGGGGAAGGAGTGGAGAATGTGGACAAGAGCGAGTGATTAAAGCTATGTACCTACAAAGCGAAAGGAATGGTAAAAGATGGGAGTTGGTCTAGATGATAGCATATGAACTTGATTGAAAAAACACTGCAAGTCTGGGCGCAGTGGCTTACGCTTGTAATCCTAACACTTTGGGAGGCCGATGAGGGCAGATTACTTGAGCTCAGGAGTTCGAGACCAGCCTGGGCAACACGGCAAAACCCCATTGTCGCTATAGTCCTAGCTACTAGGGGAGCTGAGACAACAGGATTGCTTGAACCTGGGAGGTGGAGTCTGCAGTGAGCCAAGATCACGCCCTTGCACCCCAGCCCAGGTGACAAATGAGACCCTGTCCAAAAAACAAACCAAAAAAACACTGCAGAACCTACTATGTACCCACAGCAATTAAAATATTTTAAAATTTTTTAATAAACAAATTCCAAAAAATACTACAGAACTAATAAAAATAGTTATGTCAATCATGTCAATAGTTGCACCATAAATTATGTGCACACCACTTATAAATGTGTAAAAAAAATGCCTCCAGACTAAAAGTAAACTATGTCAAATAATAAAAAGCAGTCCACAGTCTAAAAATGCATACAGAAGTTCGTGTACATAGGTTCTCTGAGTGTGATGCTCGATGTCTAAATACTGTGTGCTATAGGGAAAATCTCTTTCCTCACCCAGGAGACAATGTTCAGCTGGGTGTTAAGACCAGTCAGGTGACGAGAGTGAACAGCATTCTAGGTACAGTAAACCACATAGAGGCATGGAGGTAGGGAAGGAAATGTGGCCTCAGCAGGGATTCAACCTGACCACAAATTTGCTGCCTGCGCCAGTCAGTGAATCACTCCCACTCTCCAACTAGAATTCTTCTGCTGTCTAAGTCCATCAGTGTTCCCAGTGAGAAAGCACTCTTGGAAATTTATCATTGCTTTGGGCTGCCTCTGGTACAGAACACACATTGTGTTACAAGTGAAGAGACCTCCCTGTTCACTTCTGGAGAAAACAAATGGGTGATTTTCGGATGATCTCAGTTAGCTCACCATATAACTTTCCTTACAGAGCCTGTTGTTTTGTCCAAAATCAAAACTGCACATCCACAGAGCAGAGATCTCAAAGATTATGCGAGAATGTCAGGAAGAAAGTTTCTGGAAGAGAGGTAATTGTACTTAACATTGTATTTGCGGCAGTAAACTGCCTAAATATTCATATTAGAATTGTGGTAATGACTTACGTTTGAGCAGAGACTTTGCATAAATATCTGATGAACTCTGATATTCAGGGATGTTTACAGTTTAAATCCAAGTTCAGACCTTTTTTAAGGCAGAGATAATATCTGATTAAGGAGCACTTTACCTCACTTAGCAAAAAATGATGCACACGTAATTCTTCCCTTTACCAAGAATATGTGACCAAGAATGTGTACCAAGACAATTATTTAGAATTTGTTGATTCCCAAAGAGTAGACCTTCCTACATTCTGCTGGACTCTAAGTTTCACAGGGTTCAGAAATAATGTCAAGTTCATCTGGAACTTCATTCTATAGCCTAGCACAGTGCCCTGTTCATAGAAATACCTAATCGATATTTTTCAAATGAATGAAAAATGGCCACGTTCCATTAATACTTCTCTTACACTGTCTCTGAAATAACATTTTCAGCTGAGTCACTTCCTCTTTCTGAGCCTGCCTCACATAAGACAATCAGGCTGTGCATTAAGGTCTCTTCCAATTAAAAAAATGTGTAATTCAGTATTTGAAAATGGCATAGTAGAACCTGTAGATACAGTCTTGATATTTTGCAACATTGCTGATGTGTGGATAATGTATACTTTGAAATACTCATTTTGATTTCTTAAGTCATTCAAATTTAGTATCACCTGTTTTGGAAATAACACTAGAAGTTGATATTCATTATACATTATAGGATTACTGACTGTGCTTCTAGAAATTCATGTGTTTTCTGACAACCTATGAGTTGTCAGAAAATTTAATTGGGCCCTAGTAGACTAACACTTCAGTATGACCCATTTGCCCACTATAGGGTAGCTATGAGTGGAAAAATTGGTTGCTATTTGATCTGTCTTGGTTGAACTAGAAAGAGCTACATGTTTATCACTACTCTCTGCTTTTGAAAGAAGTTATTTGACACATATTGATGGACAGAACTAGAAACTGCCTTTCCCAGACTAAATTTCCTGTTTTAAAATTATAGCTAAACATTACACATGTTTAACATGAACATAGTCATCTTGTGATCTTTAATTTGGATCTTCAGGCAAATACAAATTGTAAGACAAAATGTCATGAAAAAGAAAAAGAAAGACAAGGAACTGTCCTAGACTAAATCAAATAGGAGAATATGTGTAATGTATGATCCCTGAATTTCTGAGTTGGAAAAAGCCCACAGCTATTGGGCCAGTTGGAGAGATTTGAATAATGATTGTGTATAAGTTAATATAATTTTTTGAGTACGAGTGTTCAAGAAATATAAATGTTTTGACCATGCTAATGGTGGTGTAATTACGTAGGGAAACATTCTAGTTTTTAGAAGACACCTGCTGAAGTATTTAGTGACAGAGTCATAATGTTTGCAAATCTCAAATGACTCAGACAAAAAAGGAAAAATTAGATAAAGCAAATTTGGCAAAATGTTCACAATTAATGAATCTAGATGAAAGGTATGTAGGAGTTTATTGTATTGCTTTTTAACATTTGTGTAGGATTGAAAATTTCAAAATACACACATAGCTAAAGGCAACTCCCAAATTCAACAGGTAAATGTACATATATCCTAAGATGCCTTTATTATATGTAGTGCTTAGAATCTTGTGCATGATGGCATTCAGTACAAGTGGATGTTAGACATGAAGTAGAATAGGGTTCAAATTAATGCTGTGCCTCAGGGTAAGTGACTGGGGAAGATTCCAAGAAAATTCTCCATACTGCACTTAATAAATATTTGTTGAATAAGTAAAATAACAAATGAACAAAAATTCACTGCCAAGGAAAGTAAGAGAAAAAACTCAGAATCATTCTCCCTAACTTCTCGGTGAGGTGCCAATTTTTAAAATACCAATATTGAAGGACATTTTTGCTTTACAGCTCTGCCTTTTTCTCTTGTAAGCATGCTTGTCACCCAGGGACTAGTCTACCAAGGTAAGATTCTATATTTGTTAAATAATCTAATTTCAGAGAGCCCAGTTTTCTGTGACCCTCCTGGAAGCTTTTTGGCTCTTGACATTTATTTTTTGGTGAAGGATGTTTTTCCACAGACTTCTGTCTATTTTCAGCCTAAGTTCCTATCTCCCCAGAAAGCATCCTAATCCCCAGAATTAGTGAATATATTAGGTTACATGGCAAAAGGAAATTAAAGTTGCAGATGGAATTAAGGTTGTTAATCACCTGACCTTAAAATAGGGAGAGTATCCTGGGTGATCCAAGTGGGCCCAGTGCAATTGAAAGGGTCCTTAAAAGTGAAAGGCAGGATCTGAAGGTAGAATCAGAGAGGTGGCAATTTGAGGCCTCAGCTCAACATTGTTGGCCTTGAAGATGGAGGAAGGGACCATTAGTGGAGGAATGTGGGCAGCCTCAAGAAGCTAGAAAGGCAAGAAACCCTCGAGCCTCCAGATAGGAATGCAGCCCATTTAAGGAACACAGTTAAAACCTTGGTTTTCATCCGGCGAGACCCATTTTGACCTCAAGAACTGTAAGATAATAAATTTGCTTCATTTACAGGAACAACAGAGAAGCAATCCTGTGCCTTTCTCTGTGCCGGAGTCCAGTGTCTCCCAGGGCCTCTGTATATGGTTAGACAGACGGTTCCCTGCACAAATAAGGATGTTCCAGGGAGAAGGTGGGGGAAACTGAAATCCACCCTAAGCTGTGTCCACCATGCCATTTCTTTTGGCAAGAGGCTGCATCTGCCTGAGGAGGGCACCCTGTCTCCTCCATACAAGAGACCGTAAGGGCCAGCAGCTGCCTTGCATCTCCCCTCATAACCTCTCTCTGCCTCTTAGCATTTTCCTGTTTTCCTCTCTGTTCTTTCTTCTTCATCTCCTCCCTGTCTCCACCTGACCAGAGAACCCAGAGACATTCCTTAGTCCACAGGTGGCAAGAAGGCACCTTATCCTGTTTAAGCCCATTTTATCAAACACTGTTGATTAACACCATTTTGCTTTATTTTTATTATTATTTTTTTTAATGAGACAAGGTCTTGCTATGTTGCCCAGGCTGTCCTCAAACTACTGGGCTCAAGCAATCCTCCCCTCTAGACCTCCTGAGTACCTGGGATTATAGGCACGTGTCACCATGCCTGGCTTCTGATTATCAGGATTTTATGGGGGTCTTGGGGTTTTGTTTTGTTGGTTTTTTGTTTATTTGTTTGTTTTTGAGACAGGGTCTCGCCTTCATCCACTGCAGTGATATAATAATGGCTCCCTGCTGTCTCAACTTCCTGGGCTCAAGTGACGCTCCCATCTCAGCTTCCCAAGTAGCTGGGTCTATAGACACATGCCACCACACCCAGCTAATTTTTTTTTTTTTTTTAATTTTTGCAGAGACAGTGTCTCACTATATTGCCCAGGCTGGTCTCAAACTCCTGAGCTCAAGTGATCCTCCCACCTCAGCCTCCCAAAGTGCTGGGATTACAGGTGTGAGCCATCACACCCAGGCTTGATTACCAGGATCTTAAAAGGAACATTTGTACCAGTAAATATGAGGGAAGAAGTCCTAGTTCTTTTCTGAGTCCCAAAAACCACATGTCACATAGCTAGGAGAATCCCACTTTGACCAGTATCATTCTTGTCCATAAAGGTCATGTATTAAATATGATTGTATTTTTACAATTTGAAGATAGCATTTTTCAGATCATTTTTGACACAGATAAAAATATTGGGGCTGGGACATCTATGGGGATTATGAGTTTTTTGTTTGTCTGTTTGTTTTTGAGACGGAGTCTCACTCTGTCACTCAGGCTGGAGTGCAGTGGCATGATCTGGGCTCACTACCACCTCTACCTGCTGGGTTCAAGCAATTCTCCTGCCTCAGCCTCCATAGTAGCTGGGATTGCAGGCCTGTGCTACCACATCCTGCTGATTTTTGTATTTTTAGTAGAGACAGGGTTTCACCATGTTGGGCAGGATGGTCTCAAACTCCTGACCTCAAGTGATCTGCCCACCTCAGCCTCCCAAAGTGCTGAGATTGCAGGCAAGAGCCACCACACCCGGCCCAGATTATGTTTTATAACTATTAAACTACTCCAAATCTACTGCTTGTGGTGTGAATGTCCCCTTCAAAATTCAGGGTGAAATTTATCCGCCATTGTAACAGTATCAAGAGGTGCAGCCTTTAAGAGGTTATGAGGGCTCCACCCTCATGAACAGATTAATACCATTATCATGGGAGTGAGTTCCTGATAAAAAGGATATGTTCAGCCTCTCCTCTTGCTCTCTGTTTCCTACACTTCCTTGCCATGGATAACCCTCATAAATGCCAGCTCTATGCTCTTAGATTTCTCAGCCTCCAGAAGTGTGAGCCAAGTGAACTTCTGTTCTTTATAAATTATCCAGCCTGTGGTATTCTGTTATAGGAGCAGAAAACAGACCAAGACATCTACCATTTTTTGCGTCTATGCTAACATATTTTTTCGGAGTTTAATATCAGTTTTCTATAACATCTCTAACAAATTACCACAAACAGAGTGACATAAAACAACACAAATGTATTATCTTACAGTTCTTGGAAATCAAAATTCTGAAATGGGTCTCACTGGGCTAAAATCAAGGCATCACCGCAGCTGTGTTCCTTCTGGAGGCTCGTGGGCATCCTTTTCCTTTCCAGCTTCTAGAACCATGCATATTTCTCAACCGGTGGCCCCTTCCTATGACCGTAAAGTCAGCAACATTGAGCCATGTTCTTCTCTTGCTGCCATCTCTCTGTCCTGTCACGTTTCCTCTTCCACACCGAAGGATCACATTGGGCCCACGTTGAGCATCTCTCTCTTTTAAAGTCATCTGATTAGCAACATCAGTTCCATTTTCTACCTTAATCCCCCTTTTGGGACCTAATACATTCACCTTTTCCAGGAATTCAGATGTGGGTATCTCTAAAAGGCCATTATTCTAACTACCACGAGTTGTACTGTTTGCATTGTAAAATAATGATATACACTGTGAATCTCCAAATGGAAACTCTCTATGTTGAGTTACTTAAAAAGAAAAGAGGGTGCACATGTACCCTAACTTAAAGTATAATTTTTTAAAAAAAGAGGATGATGACTAATCTCTTTGAACACTGTTGTCAGCCCTACCTTTGCTTGATGTCTTTGAATCAGTCTTGAATTGTCTGTTTCATATTATTTTTCTACACATTACAGCTAATATTTATAATTTGCCTAAAATGACTATCTGGCAGTTAAATTCAACTGAGAGTTGAATCATAACTCCTTTAAGATCCTTTTTTTTTTCGTTTTTCCTTTTTTTTTTTTTTTTTTTTTTGAGATGGAGTCTCGCTCTGTCACCCAGGCTGGAGTGCATTGGTGCCATCTCAGCTCACTGCAACTTCTGCCTCCTGGGTTCAAGCGATTCTCCTGCCTCAGCCTCCCAAGCAGCTGGGATTACAGGCACCCACCATCATGGCTGGCTAATTTTTGTATTTTTTTAGTGGAGACGGGGTTTCACCATGTTGGCCAGGCTGGTTTCGAACTCCTGACCTCAGGTGATCTGCCCGCCTCAGCCTCCAAAGTGCTGGATTACAGGTGTGAGTGACTGTGCCCGGCCAAGATCATCTTTCTAAAGTCAGAATATGTATACATTTAAGAAATTATATGTCTTAAATTTTGGAGGCTTCTTTATACTTTAAGAATAACTTATAATTTAAGTTATAAAATGAAATAATAATGTATTTCTGTATTACTCCTTAGGTTATTTGGCAGCTAATCCTAGATTTGGATCATTGCCCAAAGTTGCACGTAAGTCACAGAAATAAAAAAGCAAGCCAAGTGTGGTGGCTCACATCTGTAATCCCAGGAATTTGGGAGGCTGAGGCGGGTGGATTGCTTGAGTCCAGGAGTTCCAGACCAGCCTGGGCAACATGGTGAAACCTTGTATCTATTTTAAAAAATAATAAATAAAATTTTGAAAAAAAAAAAAAGACATTACTAGCAACTGGAGATATGAATGTCCAGCTTAACTAAACTGCCTATATTGACTTTTTAAAAAATCAACCTCTATTTTCTGCTACTCTGCATTTCTTAGTTCCCTCAACACTTTCTGATATACAGCTTAGCAGTAGGGACTTCTTCTTAGACCATCCTTAAAGCATGGACTAAGAAGGACTGGAAGGATATATAATGAGATTATTAGTAGCAGAGCCTCTGAATGATAGATCCTTTATGGATTTTTATTTTCCTCTTTTGCCCTGGCCAGTCTTTTCAAAATGTTTTCTACAATGGATATAAAAAATGAGTAATTTTTAAGAATCAGGGGATTTCTAATAATAGAGTAACCACAAACTTGGGGTTTCATCTTCCTTCACCTAGTTTCAACAGATGTTTTATGTACAAAAAGGACACATTTTAGTTGATAGTCTGAAACCGCATTCATTCCTAGCAGGAGGAACAGATTTGAGATCTCTTCCATAGGAGGGTCCCTCTCCCTCGTAGGCAAGATAGACTGAAACTCTCCACTACTCCAAGGCCATAAGGAAGATTAGGGGCATTTCTACCCAGTGATTTGGAAGCTGCCTATAGCCACAACCCAGCCACCTTCCCCTGCCCCAGTGGCCTCAACCATTTGCTTGACAGGTAGGCCCTCTCTGGCCATCTGTCTCCAGGACAGCACTGTGGCTTGCTCTGTCCTGCCCCTTCCACCACCAGTTCAAAGTTGAGATGGGGAAGTCTCCAGTTCCCAATCCTGTTCTTTTCTAATAGAGACTTCCTTCTCAGAGTCTTCATTCATTGATTTAGCATGGTCCTTTTAATTTTAAAATTACCAGCGTTAATTTTTAAAACTCTGGAAGATAACTAATGGAGAAGATTCTCAACCTTTAAATGACCTCTCCCAACCTGCTTTTACAGTTGCTGGTCTCTTGGGATTTGGCCTTGGAAAGGTATCATACATAGGAGTATGCCAGAGTAAATTCTATTTTTTTGAAGATCAGCTTCGTGGGGCTGGTTTTGGTCCACAGCATAACAGGTTTGTAATCTGTTTGGTTGAGGGATTGTAATGTAATTATAAGAAATTAAATGAAAGATTATTCATTATTTAGAATATTAAACACACTTTTTAAAATTCACATGTTAAAAAAGTTTTAATCCTCAAGTTTAGCATTGACTTTGTTACTACACTTACCAATTTCATTTGTTTGATAAATATTTAACGGGAACCTACTGTGTTCAAACATTGTACAAGTTTCTAAAGAATTCCTCAATGAGCAGTTATGGCTTCCACCATCACAGAGTTACACAAAACTTTAACAGGTTTCTTTACTGCAGGGCTTCTCAGAGCTTTTTCTATGTTAATACTGCATATATCATGATTCTCTATAGGGGAAATAGGCAGTATGACTTTGGAGTTAATGGCATCACCTCTGCTGTTATAGTACTTGGGTTGAAAACCAGTTCTACCGCTTAAATAAGTTGTGTGACCCTGCAAGTTTCTTAAGCTCTCTGATCTTCAATTTCCTTATCTGTATAAAATAGTGATCAGGATAGTTTTTATGAGATGTAAAGAATAGAAATGATTATTCGTGACACTCAGTAAGTGCTCAGTAAACATTAGCTATTTTTACTATAGTAGTTACCAGATTAGTGTTGGGAACACATTTCTCTAAAGACCCCTCACTGGTCACAGTGGGTTCTATCTGAGAAGCAGCACAATATGATGAAAACAAACTGGACTAGAAGTCAAAACACTCAAGTTCTTTTTCTAACTATGTGACTTTGGAAAGCCATGTTCCCTAGTCCTGTAGTAATAGATGGGCCCTTCAATACTGTCTCTTTCTGATGAGCTGCATGAGACCCAAAGAGCTGTAGAGACCTTCTGAAGGTGACATCATTAGCAGTGGGTGGAAAAGGGTCTTTCACCTCAGATCATCTGTTTTCCAAACCCTTACTCTTCCCATTGCAGAAGCAAGGCCACCAGAGAATCATTAATTCCATTTTTACAGACAACACCAACTTAAGTCCATCCTTGCTAAGTTGTGTTTTAGAGTCAGCTTGCTGAGGAGGAATTGACCACATGATTCTGGTCTGTGTAGGAAAAGAAAGAAAAAGTATCACAAGTAAAGGAGAGAATTTTGTTGACTGCTTCCTCTTCCTCTTCAATTTCAGGAGTGTCTTTTGCAGTTAACCAACTTTGGATTTCAGAATAATTATGAACACAAGACTGAAATCTACATTTTTCAGACAATGTCCATTGTGAAAGGAGGTGACTGAAGTAACTAGTTTCCAGGGCTCCTTTAAGCTCTGCGTTCTGTGGTTTCATTTTGCCTTCCCACTGCCAGCCACAGCAGCCCCACTCTGGGCTTGCATTCATAGCTGATAACCAATTGCTATGCCCTATGTGAAGGGCCATTACCAGCAAATCTGAGAGGCAATAATTCACAAAGCTATTTGATTTCTTAATTAAGGGAAAGTAGAGTGGGGCACTTAACTAAGTTGAGGTGGAGGGGAGCGTTAAGGAATAGGCATTAAGGACTTCTTGGAGTAGGTGATGATGCTTGACTTGAATCTTAATAGATTCAAGTAGTAGTAGCTACAGCAGAAGCTATGACAAGAGGAGATATAGCAGGAGCTATGGCTATAGTAGGAGCTATAGCAGGAGCTATGGCTATAGTAGGAGCTATAGCAGGGTTGAAGAAGGGGATTCCAGGCCAGGAATAGTATGTAGAGAAGAGAAATTTTCATTTTTAAAGGGAACCATAAATACATCCTACGGTTGGAGCATAAAGAGCTATTGGGAAAGGCAGAGAACAAGCTGGAAGTCCAGGCAGGTAGAAGTCAGCCCCTGAAGGAATTTATGCCATGCTAAGGATTTTCACTTCATTCTCAAAGCAATGGGGGGAAATAAGTGAGAGAAAGGGGTTCCTCATCCATCTCTTCAGGGTTTTACAGTAGCAGTTTCTGGCCTTGCTACCTTCGAAGTAATCCTTCCCACCCAGGCCAGATTGAATGAGTTTTCTATCATTCAAAACACATCCTATCACTGTCCTGCATAAAGTTATCCTGTTGCCAACTCCTCATAGGAGTAAATGTTTGTTGAATTTGTAAGATTATAAAACTTTAATGCAAGAAGGGACTCGACATCTATTCCATATTCAAATGTGAATATTATTCTAGAATGAAGTTGTGCATTTTCCTTGGTATCCTAAGGAAACTGGGACAAGTTCGGCAAACTATAAACCAGAAATTCTGGAAGTATCATTTTTTTAATTTAAAAAATTATGTGTGTGTATATATATGTGCACATGTGTGTCCAAACCTAACTCCATAGGCATATAGTTTAATCCTGGATCAACGCACTGTGTTTATAATTTTTATGCTATTGTTAGAAATTACTTGAATTCAAAAAGAATCAAGATGTTCAAACCCTGCCTGACCCTGACCACAAATACAACCATCTGTTTCAACATAAAGCTCATTATTGGCTTTTTGGGGGGTGAAATATTGGGGGCCATAAACCAAGCAACTCCTATTATTTCTGAAAAAACAAGACTAGTGAACTTTAGCATAGACTATATATCTAATATTGTTTTAAAGGCAGGTGCAGTGGTTCATGCCTGTAGTCTCAGCTACTCAAGAGGGGTGGGTGAGAGGATCCCTTGAGCCCTCGAGACCAACCTGGGCAACATAGACAGACTATTCCCCCATCTCTATTTTAAAAATTATGTTAAAATAATAAGAATAATAATATTATGTAAAGACTAGAGCTTCCAGTGTCAAAGTACAAACCACTGTCTATTTTTGCTTCTCTTCTAGGCACTGCCTGCTTACCTGTGAGGAATGCAAAATAAAGCATGGATTAAGTGAGAAGGGAGACTCTCAGCCTTCAGCTTCCTAAACTCTGTGTCTGTGACTTTCGAAGTTTTTTTAAACCTCTGAATTTGTAAACATTTAAAATTTCAAGTGTACTTTAAAATAAAATACTTCTAATGGAACAAAAATATCGTGTCTGTCACTCACTGAAATGTATTCCATGGAAGGCTCTGAAGTGAACTAAACATTACATGTTTTTCTACTCTTTAAGAACATGTTGGGGCATGGCGCAGAGGCCGAGGCAGACAGATCATTTGAGGTCAGGAGTTCATGACCAGCTTGGCCAACATGGTGAAACCCTGTCTCTGCTAAAAATATAAAAATTAGCCAGGCGTGGTGGCACATGCCTGTAATCTCAGCTACTGAGATGGAGGCTGAGGCAGGAGAATCGCTTGAACCTGGGAGGTAGAAGTTGCAGTAAGCAGAGATTGTGCCACTGCACACCAGCCTGGGTGGCAGAGCTAGACTCCATCTCATACACACACACACACACACACACACGCAAAACATGTTAGAAATCCTCACACATACAAATGACATTGCCCCCCCACCAACTTGCTTACAGCTAAATAAGATAATTAAGTCTTCTCAGATTAGCCTCTATCCTTTCTTTTACTCTGCTTTTTTTTCCCAGTGTTTTAAGTTCTCTGATAGAGAACTGGAATTAATGTTGAAGAAGTTAGGAAGTCATGACCCCAAGAAAATTAATGTGTATGGAGATAGAAACAGGTCAAGACAGTCTTACAGCTATGAGGAGTGCTTCCTAAAATGTAGGGGCAACATTTTTAACTTAGTGAAAAGTGTTTCATTGGAAAGTGTCATAATATGAATCAACTATCCTTTCAGTGCTCCAGGTGACCTTATGGTTTGACAGTATGGTTCAGCAGTGGAGTTTGGAAGTGACTGTTATCTTTTTTTTTTGAGACAGGGTCTTGCTCTGTCACCCAGACTGGAGTGCAGTGGCATGATCATAGCTCACTGCAGCCTCGACCTCCCAGGTTCAAGCCACCCTCCCACCTCAGCCTCCCAAGTAGCTAGGACTACAGGTGTGTGCCACCATGCCCTCTATTTTTGTAGTTTTGTAGAGATGGGGTTTTGCCATGTTTCCCAGACTGGTATTGAACTCCTGAGCTCAAGCAACCCACCTATCTCTGCCTCCCAAAGTGCTGGAATTACAGGTGTGAACCACCATGCCTGGCCTCATTGTCTTTAGGTTATCTGCTTAGCTAATGGGCACATGCTCATGGGCAGCCCTCAAGAATGGGGTTCTTTTATATACTACTAGTTGCCTGAAACAAAAAACACAGCTTCCCAAACTGTTTCTCATTGCGCCCAAGGAACAGCTTATTTATGGGAGGAATCACTGGAATAATTAATACATGGAATGATAAATTTAGAATTCTAGGGAGTTCAGAGGTAGCCAGTGCAACTCCAGGAGTTGGACTCCTATTCTCCTGTCAGATTTGTTGCATGAAAATAACAACAACAAAATCCGGCAGGGTGTGGTGGCTCACACCTGTAATCCTAACACTTTGGGAGGCAAGGCAGGCAGATCACCAGAGGAGTCTGAGACCAGCCTGGCCAACATAGTAAAACACTGTCTCTACTAAAAATACAAAAAATCAGTCAGGCGTGGTGGTGCATGCCTGTAATCCCAGCTACTGGGGAGGCTGAGGCATGAGAATCTCTTGAATTAGAGAAGCAGAGGTTGCAGTGAGCCAAGATAGTGCCACTGCACTCCACTCTGGGCAACAGAGTGAGACTGTCTAAAAAAAAAAAAAAAAAAATTAGGAAAAAAAAGAAATTCTTCCATGTGGGAACCTTTTGTTTTAGATGTGACAGGTTGTCTGAGCCCTACAGAAACACTACTCTTGCTTCTTTGCAACTTCTCAGAAGAATACTTTATACATGTGTCACCATTTATATCAATATATAGGCAAGGTGCAGTGGCTCACGCCTGTAACCCCAGCACTTTGGGAGGCCAAGTGGATCACTTGAGGTCAGGAGTTTGAGAGCAGCCTGGCCAACATGATGAAACCCCACCTCTACTAAAAATACAAAAATTAGCCGGGTGTGGTGGCACATGCCTGTAGTTCCAGGTACTCAGGAGGCTAAGGCAGGAGAATTGCTTGAACCCACGAGGCAGAAGTTGCAGAGAGCAGATAGTGCCACTGCACTCCAGCCTGGGTGACAGAGCAAGACTCTATCTCAAAATAAATAAATAAATAAATAAATATATTTATATACACACTTATATACATAAGGGGTGTGTGTACGTACATGTTTGGGATATATATAAGGGGTGCGTGTATGTACACGTTTGGGTTTTACTTAATACATCTTGAACATGTATTTTGGAAGTTAAAAGAGAAACTTTATTAAAAGTTAATTGTTTACATGAAATATTTTTTTTTAAACCTCAAATTATACAGAAGTTTTAATTTTTACATGAACATTAAGTGTAAGCCTCTTTTTATATTACGTATCCTATTTTTTTCAGTCCATTAAGTTTTATTTCTGTAAATCGGAATGCAAAGCCAATATCCTAGTATCTTAAATGCAAGTTTAACTCTTGGCTCTGATAACTAGCAGTTGGTGACTCTTTGTCATCTCAGCTACTGTCAAAAATTCAGAATTGGGCACATTTATTTCCTACTTGCCAGAAAATGATTTCCCAGGGATCAGAACATTTCACGTTGCTTAGCACAGCAAATCAATGTAAAAAATCTATTCCAAGGTACTCGGGAAAGATACATGTATTTTATTTATTTTTATTTATTTATTATTTATTTATTTATTTATTTATTTATTTATTTATTTTTGAGACGGAGTCTTGCTCTGTCGCCCAGGCTGGAGTGCAGTGGTGCAATCTCAGCCCACTGCAAGCTCTGCCTCCCGGGTTCATGCCATTCTCCTACCTCAGCCTCCCAAGTAGGTGGGACTACAGACACCTGCCACCAAGCCCGGCTAATTTTTTGTATTTGTAGTAGAGATGGGGTTTCATCGTATTAGCCAGCATAGTCTCGATCTCCTGACCTCGTGATCCACCCGCCTCAGCCTCCCAAAGTGCTGGGAATACAGGGGTGAGCCACTGCGCCCAGCTGACACATTTATTATTGTTTAAAGGAGCATTGTTTTTACTGCTGACATCTTCGTATTTCTTCTCAATCAAATTGGGTTTATTGCTTGGGCTTTCTACTTTTCCTACGTACAGAAGTTATTCATTGAAGCATTTTATCATGGCAATCTATCTTACAGTGAAAGAAAATCAATAAGGAAAAAACCGGAAGTTCATCCAAGAGGCTTTGATTATTCTGCTGCCTATTTTTTGGGGGGTTTTTGTTTTGTTTTGTTTTGTTTTGCTAAGGGGGACAGAATCTCACTCTGTCGCCCAGGCTGCAGTTCAGTGGCACAATCTCGACTCACTGCAACCTCTGCCTCCCAGGTTCAAGTGATTCTCCTGCCTCAGCCTCCTCAGTAGCTGAGATTACAAGCACGCACCACCACGGCCGGCTAAATTTTTGGCATTTTTAGTGGAGACAGGGTTTCACCATGTTGGCCAGGTTGGTCTCCAACTCCTGACCTCACAGGCATGAGGCACCACGCCCAGCTGCCTATGTATTGTGCATATTGGAAAGCTAGTACCTGGTGGAGAATGTCTGTTTCTTGTGTTAAAGGAACAGCACCTGCCTTTTGACATTTCACCATTACCAACACTCATCACAATGCTGGTCACAAGCTTATGAAAGCAGTATCTTCATGATTTAAAAAAAAAAAAGCCTTGGAAAAGAACAGCAAAATAAAATTGTAGATAAACTCACGTGAAGGAAAGAATGATGAGACTACACGGTAGTAAAAGTTGGATGTCTAACCAATTTTATTGGCAAACTTTCCCTAGGATGATATGGACTGACATTCTACAGTGAAGAAAATGCAAACCATCCCCTTATTTTGAATTTGATGAATGGAATTTAAAATGTAACATTACTTTGTCCATGGATGCACTTATAAGAAGAGACAAACTTGATATCTGAAATCAGCAAACCTTGTCTAACACATTGTAGTTCCTCTAGATAACATAATAAAATGTTTTTAACAGAGGGTAATGACACTAATGAAAATAAGATTCAACCAGAAAACACCAAAATGATTTCCTTGACTCCATGCACCCCTGTGGCACTCCTGTGACACCTAGAAATGTGTTTCTTTCTTGGCTTACATACAAGTGGATAACTAGAAAGGATGCTTTCAAGATATTTTTAGTTTCAAAGGCATTAACCAAACATCCCACCATTAGCTATGGTGATCATTTGTTCTAAATTTTGCCTCAGTTTGTGTGATCCTGGAATTCAAAAGTTATTACTATAAACTGTATTCTAATGAAATGTATGTTTTATAATTTAAAAAATACTAGCATAATCATTTTGTGTTTGTTTCTCTTATCAAAATAGATCAGTGTTTCCAGAAAGATTCGTATGTTATCGATATTATACTATATATTATTACATGTATAAATAATATATGTAGCATATAATATACTATATATAATGCTTATTATATATTTTAAAATTCTCATTTAAACAAAGATATTCTCTTCCTTTGCTGTGGAATAGTTCATCTAGTTTAACATTATGAAAGTAATAAAAATATATTGAGTGATTTAGTAACAGTAATAAAAATGTATCTTGAATGATTTGATTAAGTAACGAAATGTAATGTAAATGTTGTGTAGGCAATTTTCTTGATATTCAAACAATGCAACCTGTTAATTGACAGAAAACCTCTCCATTTTGGAACTCTGCTCCCAAATTTCAACTATAAAATTCAGTTTTGTTAGACACTTGGAGTTGGCAGAGATTTCAGTGATTAACTCAGAGGCTGCAAAGAACAGGACCAGATGGACAATGTAATTGAGTGAAGCTGAGCTAGTGCATATTAAACAAAGGTGTATTCTTCACTTCCATACACAAAAATAGATAAGCCCACTGTTGCCAAATCTTCCACTTGTTCAATATTCAATGCAAGCAAATGCAAGTTTTTATGTGAAACCTCCCGTTTTTAAAATATTCACATTATTTCATATATTTAAATATTGAGCACTTATTCTGTACTAGGAACTGTCCTAGGT